CCTGCTTACAAGCCTCGAATTACCTTTCACTCCTCAGTTTATTTTCTCATTCACATTGTCGGGTATATTTGGACTAGAAACGTCCAAATTAAAATACAGCAATAAAGAGAATTGTTTCGTAATTTGGAAAACCTCTGTTGCTTTATGTTGTGTACATCTGAGCTCTTGTTTTGAAATAATACTCTGCATTAATAACAATGATTAATAACTGTTTCCTGCAGAGCTGTACATAAATATTTTCCGGCACAATACCAGACAGTGAAATGTTTACCATCTCATTTAACTGCCTCGGGCTAAGTGAGGTAAAGGGATTTTTTTTTCTTCATTATCATCACAGAAATGTTTGCCGTAAAGTGCATCTTTTTATTTAAGTTTGACTGGTGTGTTTGATTATAAATTATTCTATTTTAAAATGAATTTAATAAAGTTTGCTTTTTATCATGCATGAGCAACGCTATCCAAAATCTGTTAGGGAGGTATAGTAAGTAGGCAAGGGAAAATATATATGATAACAAATTAAGAAAGCAGGTTTATGTGTCTTGTTAAATGAAAATAAGAAAGTAAAGGTGGTCAATATCTAGAGAAGCACAATGTCAATGAATATGTTTTTAAAAATGCCTTTAGCAAGAGAGAGTATTTAAAACAACACACAATATAATAAACATAAAAATGTATATTATTTGTAAATCATTGTTTAGTGGATATTCCTCGCAGCACCAAAGATAACATGTAACAGTATAACATTCTTTATTACTGGGAATGAACACATAAGATTAAAAAGGCTCACACAGAAGAAAGTGGGACCTTACACGGGTTTTAAAACTACAAACACATTTGCCAAAAAGAATGACATCACTTTATCACTACCGCCGCATTTCAAGCACAACACCAAGTTCTGTGTTTCCCGATTTCAGGTCCCGGCATCCTCTTCCATGTGGTAGATTGTAGATTTTGTCTAGCTGGTCACACTGACTCGTTTCCGGCTCCCGGCATCACTCTGTGGCGCATGAGGGAGCTGAGCAGACAGCTCAGAGGAAAGTGCTCCCTCACCAATGCTGCCCGACCGACCGCCCGCCTGATCTGTCAGTTATCCACAAGGCTAACAAGACATTTGCCCTGGGCATTTGGGGGCGGCTTTTTTTTAAAAATGCCGCTCAAGGCAAATGCCTTGTTTGCCTCGCGGCTAAAACGTCCCTGAGAATAGCAGTATCTTATGCATGCAGTATGGCTGAATGCATAACACCACCCAGTGGAATCGGTCTGGGGCAACATGCAACATGTGCAATATGGGATTATATGTCTGGGAATATTGTAGGTTGCCATTTTATTGGTTTTATTAATTCAATTTTAAAGGATCACTATAGTGTCAGGAAAACAAAGCTGTTTTCCTGACACTATAGTGCCCTGAGGGTACCCACACCCTCAAGGTCTCCCTCCCGTGGCGCTGAAGGGGTTAAAACCCCTTCAGCAGCTTACATAATTCCAGTGCCGGGCTCCTTCGGCGCTGGTGACCTCTCCTCCCCGTCCGACGTCAGCTCACCCGTCCGACGTCACAGGAGCGGAATGCGCATGCGCGGAAAGTGCCACGCGCACATTCAAAGAGTCCGTAGGAAAGCATTTCTCAATGCTTTCCTATGGACACTCTGTGCGATGGAGGATTAATATGCCTTCAGCATCGCAGATGCACCTCTAGTGGCTGCCCGGAAGACAGCCACTAGAGGCAGGCTTAACCCCAAATGTAAACATAGCAATTTCTCTGAAACTGTTATGTTTACATGTGAAGGGTTAAAACCTGAGGGACCTGGCACCCAGACCGCTTCATTGAGCTGAAGTGGTCTGGGTGACTATAGTGTCCCTTTAAGATTTTACCCGATGGGAGTTGTGTCCCATTTTTTACATTTATTTATTTTGTTTTATAAGCTTCCCATGTAAATGTATATATCAGGGCTGCAAATTAGAAAGGTTTCAAAGAAAATTGAGAAGAGGAGAGAATGAAAGCAAGGCAATAGAAGACAAGTATGGGGAGTTTGAATATATGGAGTCTTGACTATGATGTTATTACCCCTTTCCCATGTTTTGATAGGTAATTTAAATTAATCTGTCTACACTGTGGAATTATTTGCTCAAACATTTGTCTTGGCAGAAAATTCATACTATTCCACTTCCTCCACCATCAAGTTTTCCATGTATATATGTTACTATTTATATTATTGTTATATATTTCAAGTTTAGGTTCGCATTAGTACAGGTGTTATATATGGCTACTGTTATATATGGTTTATTCACCAAATCCTGGATTGTAGTTTAAAAACTGAATTCCAACATTGGAAGATGGAGAATTTTTCTAAATAAGCTACTTTGGACTAAAGAGCAGAATTATTATTATTATTATTATTATTATTATTATTATTTTTGAGGGGGAGGAGGGGAGGGGATTTTAAAGTATTGACTTTATTTTCTACAGAAGATATCCGAATGCCAAATATTTCTAAACTTTTTTTAATATATATTTTATTTTTCAAAAAAAAATTATATTCCATTCCATATATCCAAAAAATTTAAACATTTAAATACTTATATACATAAAAGTACAAACAAATACAAAAGAATATACATAAATACATCCACCCTCGAGGACAATTAATTCATATCTCTTTTGATCAATAATTCATTTTCTATATCTCCTTATTCCATATAGACCATACCTATTATTATCACTTTCTTCCCTCAAACCACATTCATACCTCTGCAACAATAAGCATTTTATCCTCTGATATTTCCTTTCTTTCTGCTTTCTCTCTACTTCTTCTTATATTATATGGTGTATATTTTACTTTACTTTACTTGTTCCATTCTGGTATCTTATTACTTTTCCACTTTCTCGCTAATACCCTCTTTGAGGCCATCAAAATATGTGTTATCATCATACTTTTTTTTAGTAGACATGCTAGGCCAGTCCTGATGTAAAAGAAAACTCTGTGGGGTGAAAGGTATATTTACTTGACATAGTACATTTATTTGATTTTTTATATACTTCCATACTATTTTAAGCGGCGCGCAATGCCACCAGATATGGAGGTATTCCTTTTTTCCTGTTTAACACCTCCAACATTTATTTTGCCTATATTTATATATTTTTTGCGAGTTTTTCTGGAACCAGATACCACCTATTTACTAATTTATAAAAATTCTCAACAATATTTAAACAGTGTACCATTTTGTTGACATTAATTATGGCTGAAATCCAATCTTCAATCTTAATTTCTATACCAAGATATTTTTTCCATCTTTTTTTAGGATTCAAACTGTCATTCTTTTTTAGCTCTTTTACTACTTCAAAGCACCTAGATATCTGTCCTTTCTGCTTGTAGTTAATAATAATATTTCTTAAGCTTTTATTGCTCTCTTCTAAATTAAATTCTAAATATTTCCCCAGAAAATATTTAATTCTCAGGTATGTGAAGATCTCTTTACTTTGGAGTCCAAACTCTTCTTGTATCTGGTTAAAATACTTAATTTCTGTTTTTGATATATAGTCATTAATAGTCTGCATTCTGACAGTTACTAATGTTTATATCCTTAATATTTCCTGAGATCACATCTATTGGCAGAAAATAAAACAATCTATTTTCTATCTTATATTCTTTTTTAAATCTATGCCATACTTTCAAAATATTACTTATAACCATCGAGTTTTCTAGATCAACATTAGTATTTTATTTTTTTCTTATTGTCCATAGTATTACTTCCACCATTTCTGACTCTATCTGATACCAGGCCTCCTCTTTTCTATCCTCACTTTGAGTAATAATGGCATGTGCCAACATACAGGGATTATGGTAATCTATTATGTTTGGAGCTGCTAATCCCCCCTCTTTTATTTTCTTTGATAGTGTATTTACAGTTATTCACGTTGTCGGGTATATTTGGACACGTTGTCGGGTATATTTGGGTTTCTTTCCTTTCCAGATTAATTTTGAGAAAGTTGTTTAATTTTGAGAAAGCTGTTTGTATAATTTTTAACCATGCTAAGGAAACTTGTACTGATATAATTCTAAAGATATAATTCCACTTGGGTAAGATGTAAGATCGTATCATATTAATTTGTCCCATGCAGGATATCTCCTTATCAGCCCATTCTTTTAACATTTTATTTGTAAATTTTACAAGCAGAAGAAAATTAGCCTCTATTATTTTATTAGAGTTTTTGGGAATTTTAATGCCCAGGAAAGTAATATTATCCTTTGCCCAAGAAAAATTAAATGTTGTTCTTATAAAATTTCTATCCTCAATATCAATCTTTCTAGTCATTATGATGGTCTTATTTATATTCAATTTATAGTTTGAATATTCGCTATAATGTCCTATCACTTTAATATATTCTGGCAGGGATGTCCGTGGCTTTTGCAAAGTGATCAAGACTTCGTGCGCGTATAGATTATTTTTGTGTTCACTCTTTTTCATCCTGAAACCGGCAATCTTTTTATTATTCCTTATATCTGCAGCTAAAGGTTCCATTGTTAGGATATATAATAAGGGAGGTAGAGGACAGCCCTGTCTAGTGCCGTTTGTTATAGTGAACCGTTCTGCATCTATACCTGGCCCTACTGTCCTAGCTGAGGGTAGCTCCATTATTGCGTCATGTACAGCACCTACCAGACCATATGCCATCAGGGTATTACTCAAAAAATCCCATCTGACCCTGTCAAAGGCTTTCTCTGCATCCAGTGACAGGGTCAGAAGGGGAACATCCAACCGCTGTGCTGCATCGCATATGTTCAAAGAATTAAATAAGGTATTGAAACCTTCATACGCCAAAAGAAGTGAACTGCAAAAATTCTCCTATTTTTCTTAATCCTTTGTCAATACCTTGTTTAGTAAAAAAATATATATTTTATGTGGAATGTCTTTGATGACTAGTAGTGGGACCACGTAAACTCAATATGAAGTGCAAAATTAGCTTTTCTGGAAATTTTTAATGAAAAGAATAATTGTAACAGCCACAAAAGACCTTGACTTATATTCACACAGGCACAAGTTGGTACAAGTAATTAAAAATTGTCATTTTGGGAATATAATTAAAACAAACTCAGTCCCAACATGACCAAGCTGAACATCAAAATCATTGAGGATCACTGTTACCAGACACCACTGCATGTTAAACGCACAGTAAATACAAAGCTTGCCCATGTTTCTCAGGTTGGAGATACATGTGTGGCAACTGTAGAGTCCAGCCCCCACTGAACAATTAAACAAATAATGAATCTGTGTAGTACCAGAAAAATTGTATCTTTTGGATGGAATTCAGAATTACAAATCAAATAAACATGCTCCTCCATTGATGAAGTTGTATGTCACAAAACAATCTCGGAAATCTGTAATTCAGACAATCGTTCCAAATTTGGACAAATTGCAGTTTGTATTAAAATGAATATACAAATCTTCTGCTCAATTTTCTGCCATTTAGGAGTTTAATCACTTTGTCTATGCAGCTTTAGCCACACCTCCCTGTCTATGACACACACAGCCTCTCTACACACTTTCTGATTTCGAGTCTATTTTTTTTAGCTTCCTTCATTATACAGTGTGTTTATTTAGAATGTCTTATCTCCTGCTCTGTTAATTGCCTGCAAGAGCCTACAGCAGTTCAACTAAGTTTAATTAACAGAGCAGGATACAGAAACGTGTAAACGTGCTATAAGATCTTATTGAAAATGCAATCTTTTTATTCATGCAGGTTGTGTGAAGGAGGTGTGGCTAGGACTGTATAAACAGAAACTATAGTGATTTTTCTCCTAAACTACAGAGAAATGATCAGTTAGACTGTAGGGACATGATCTATACACCAACATTGTTTCATTAAGCTAACATTGTTTTGATGCTCAGAGTATACCTTTAAGATGCATGACAGTAGCATGAAGCCAGAACATGTGACCACCTTGTTCTGATTTTATATAAAGCATGTCTCTGCAATATGCAGCCCTGGTGACAGTGTGCATCTATAGAGGGCAATAATGATGAAAGAGGAGGTGCTCTCTGAATTTCTCTGGCGTTCTCTGAAAAGGCAGTGTTTACATATTTTACATTGTAAAAGGTCTTGATGGTAAGGTATGTCTTTTTGCTGTTTATACTAAGATATGTAACAGGGCTGATGTTCCAGGAGGGATAAGCCAAATGGCAGTTGATTTAGGTAAACTAAAGTGTTGTGGCAACTGTCATTTAATGTGGATAAGTGCAAGATAATGCATCTTGGATGTAAAAATTCAAGGGCAGAGTAGAGAATATTTGATAGAGTCCTAACCTCAACATCTGAGGAAAGAGATTTAGGGTAATTATTTCAGATGACTTAAAGGTAGGCAGACAATGTAATAGAGCAGCAGGAAATGCTAGCAGAATGCTTGTTGTATAGGGAGAGGTATTAGCAGTAAAAGAGGGAAGTGCTCATGCCATTGTACAGAAGAATGGTGAGACCTACACAGTACTGGAGACCATATCTCCAGAAGGATATTGATACTTTAGAGAGAGTTCAGAGAAGGACTACTAAACTGGTTCATGGATTGCAGGATAAAACTTACAAGTAAAAGGTTAAAGAATCTTAACATGTATAGCTTGGAGGAAAGACGAGATGGGGGGGATATAATAGAAACATTTAAATACATAAAGGGAATCAGCACAGTAAAGGAGGAGAGTATATTTAAAAGAAGAAAAACTACCACAACAAGAGGATATAGTCTTAAATTAGAGGGGCAAAGGTTTAAAATAATATCAGGAAGTATTACTTTACTGAGAGGGTAGTGGATGCATGGAATAGCCAAGCTGAAGTGGTAAATGTTAACATAGTGAAGGAGTTTATCTATGCGTGGAATAGGCATAAGGCTATCCTAACAATAAGATAAGGCCAGGGACTAATGAAAGTATTTAGAAAATTGGGCAGACTAGATGGGCGAATGGTTCTTATCTGCCGTCACATTCTATGTTTCTATGTTTCTATTCAAAAATTCTCCAACACAGCAATTTATCAGTTTAGTTATTGAGGCCTAAAATTTCAGATTTTATTAAATTTACTTGCATTCCCCAACAATTCCAATTGCTTAGTGAATGACCCTGTGTACAGTGACCCTGCTTTCTGAAACTCAATCTTTCTAAAACTGAACTCCTTGTCTTTTCTCCTCCTAATACTGACCCTCCTCTTTCGCTCTCCCTTCAGGTTAGTGGTACCCACATCAGTTCATCCTTGCAAGCACGCTGTCTTGGCGTTAAACTTGATTCTGGTCTCACCTTTGAGTCGCACATCCAGTCTGTTACCAAAACCTTAAAAACATTGACTGCATCCATCCCTTTCTTACGCAAGATACTACTAAGGAGCTTGTCCATGCTCTAGTAATCTCTCGCATGGATTATTGTCACCCTCTCCTGATTGGTCTTCCCACAAGTCTTAATGCCCCGCTACAGTCTGTAATGAATGCCGCCGCCAGACAGATTTTCCTCTCCAGTTGGTCCTCTCACACCTCTCCCCTCTGTCAGTCCTTACATTAGGTTCCTGTATCCTATAGAAGTCAATTCAAAGTACTAATCCACACCTATAAAACACTGACCAATTCTAGCCCCTCTCTTCACTGATTTATAGGTATGCCCCTTCTCAGTCTCTACGCTTTGCCGATGACCTTCTCCTGTCTGCTGCTCGCACACGTACAGCCAACTCAGGCTTGCAGGACTTCGCACGGGCAGCTCCTTTCCTATGGAATAGCCTGCCTACCACCATCAGACTCTTCCCTAGTCTTCAATCTTTGAAGAAGTGCCTTACAACCTATCTCTTCAGGAAAGTGAATGGCATCCCAGAGTAACCTCTACCTCACATACCTGTCCCTTGCTTTCTCCTAAAGGGCAGCACTCTATTCTCTCCTCCAGATCTGCTTCACTCCCACCTTATTTGATTGATATTTCCTGTCCTAATGTGTTTTATAGCCCACTTCCTATAGACTGTAAGCTCGTTTGCACAGGGTCCTTCAACCTATTGTTCCTGTAAGTTTTTTGTAATTGTCTTATTTATTGTTAAATCTCCCCCTTTTATAATATTGCAAAGTGCTACGGAATATGTTGGTGCTATATAAATGCCAATAATAATAATAATAATACAGTAAATAAACTAATCTGGGTTGCATTAGATTAATGCATCTGTGCTGATGGTGTCTTGTTTTTATGAAAGCATTACTCAATGATTTTCACAGTGAGAATTGCGGAAGCGCCTCTAGCGGCTGTCAGTGAGACAGCCACTCGAGGCTGGATTAACCCTCAGTGAAACATAGCAGTTTCAGCTGCAGGGTTAAAACTAGAGGGACCTGGAACCCAGACCACTTCATTGAGCTGAAGTGGTCTGGGTGCCTATAGTGGTCCTTTAAATGTCTTATATGCACATTACAGTTTAGATTTATATACATAATACATCTATTAGACAAATCCTCTTTAACCCCTTAAGACTGGAGGGTGTACAATTACGCCCTGTTTTAGGCGGCTCTAAACGCCGCCGGGCGTAATTGTACGCCCTCCGGTCTTTCTTTACTTACCCAGTCGCCGGCGGTCCCACGCCGACGATCGCGGTGGGGGGGACTCCCAGGGAGCCCCCCGCGGTAGATCCTCCTCCTCCGGTGCCCCCCGGCCATGTGAGAGTGAGGTCCTTGCGAGGACCCCACAATCACATGGCCGGGGGTAGCTGCCTCCTGCATTGCCAGCAGGGGGGCTGCCTGTAATGACAGGTGGTCCCCCTGCTGGCTGAAAATAAAAATAAATAAAATTAATTAAAAAGTAAAGTGTAAAAAAAATATATATAGATATACTTAGATCATATATATATCTAATATGATATATACCGTATTTTTCGCTCCATAAGACGCACTTTTTTTCCCCTCAAAAGTGAGGGGAAATGTCTGTGCGTCTTATGGAGCGAATGTGAAGAATTACTTACCTGTCTTGGAGCGTGGGCCGGCTTCACAGCGCGCTCCGCGGTCCAGGAACTTCTATTTCAGGTTCCGGTTTCCGGCGGGACTGAAAGGAAGTATGCACACTGAGTGTGCACACTTCCTTTCAGTCCCGCCGGAAACCGGAACCTGAAATATTAGTTCCTGGACCGCGGAGCGCGCTGTGAAGCCGGCCCACGCTCCAAGACAGGTAAGTAATTATGGGACAAGGGGAGGGGGAGACACTATGGGACAAGGGGAGGGGAGGAGACACTATGGGACAAGGGGAGGGGGACACTATGGGAGAAAGGGAGGGGAGACACTATGGGAGAAGGGGAGGGGGGACACTATGGGAGAAAGGGAGGGGAGACACTATGGGACAAGGGGAGGGGGGGACACTATGGGACAAGGGGAGGGGGGACACTATGGGACAAGGGGATGGGGATACTATGGGACAAGAGGAGGGGGGACACTATGGGACAAGGGGAGGGGGAGACACTATGGTACAAGGGGAGGGGGAGACACTATGGGACAAGGGCAGGGGGGACACTATGGGAGGGAAAGTGCACTATGGAACAATGGGAGGGGGGGACACTATGGGATCAGAACACTAATGGACAAGGGGAGGAGGGGTTAAAGAACACTATGGGACAGGGTAGGAGGGGTTAACAATCACTATGGGACAGGGTAGGAGGGGTTAACAATCACTATGGGACAGAGGAAAGGGGGGTTAAAGATCATTATGGGACAGGGGAGAAAAAAAAATATTCTGAACAAACTGTCCCATGGTAAGAAACACTATGGAACAGTTTGTTCAGAATATTTTTTTTTTTCTGGGTTTCCTCCTCTAAAAACTAGGTGCGTCTTATGGTGAGGTGCGTCTTATGGAGCGAAAAATACGGTATATCTATATACATAAATATATACGTGTGTGTGTGTATATATATATATATATATATATATATATATATTATATATATATATATATATATATATATATATATATATATAATCAAATTACACATAGACTGATACTGATTAAATATATATATAATTATTGTTTTATATATATATATATATATATATAATATAAAAAATAAATATGTAAATACGTTAAAGAATAAAATTTTAAAAATTATTAAAAATAAATAATTAAAAAATATATAGATGTGTGTTATTTCATTCTAACTGTATTGTGATATTAATATATATATTTATATCAAAATACACGTAGAACAAAATAATATATATATCTACATACATAAATATATACGTATATATCACTATATATCACTATATATATAAATAAAAATATTTTAAAAAAATTATATAGATATACACATATAGATTCACATACGTATATATATATACATATATTAATTCTACATATATATTTATGTAATATTTTTACATAATTAGGTATCTTAATTAATTACAATTAGCGGGACCTGCCTGACAACCCATGCCAAAAGTATAGGGAATTTAATTTGCTAGCACTATATTTAACCCTATAACTTTCCAAGACACCATAAAACCTGTACATGGGGGGTACTGTTCTACTCGGGAGACTTCGCTGAACACAAATATTAGTGTTTCAAAACAGTAAAATGTATTACAACGATGATATCTCCAGTAAAAGTGACGTTTTTTGCATTTTTCAC